TCTCTCACCGGAAGAGCCATAGAAAGGACGCAGCGTTTGGAATTTCACATCGCGACCACATCCCCAACGCAGTGATCAGACAGCGAACGGGAGTGAAAGGCGTTGTCGTCGAAAGCACAAGGGAGAAGTTACGATGGGCCAGACATGTAGCTCGCCTGGCCGAAAGGAGATGATTGGCGATCATCGTTGACTAATACCCTTGCAAACGGACTAGGCCGCTTGATCGATCACCACAACAGCGGGAAGACTATATTATCAGCCGGCAAGGCCGTGCTTGGAGGGAGAAGGCTTGAAACCACGGGGAATGGAGGGCGTGTTAGATCCGGCGCGATTCTTTGCCGTTTACCGACCGGTCCAAGTGATCCAAATAACAGTATCCAGTTCATGGCAGGCTTTTTGGCTGGAAAACCGTCAATTGCTGCGAACGAACAGCCACTTTAGCGAAACTTTACCAACCACTTTCATTGAAGAAGGTCCCTTGAGGCACGGGCCGAAACGTCGGTATTGGTCAGTTTCAGTTGATTTCTGCTACAGTATGGTTGTTCTAGTGTTTTCCGTTTCCTAAATATTAGGATGTAAGGAAACTTTCCATTTTCCACTTTGTAGGCGAATTAGATGCCCTCCTCTGTGCTGTTCAAATAATCACTGAATTTAGTGCGATGGCTACGTTCACGCTGCAGTGTTACCCCCGTGTTCTCAGCATATCGTCAGCTTAACTTTGTAACCTTAGCCTTTAATTGCTTTCAAACTCGCTTCTTTGTTTCATAACGTAGCTCAAAGGTTGTTTGTTATCGCATGTTTATTTCGTCAAGATTGTTCTCATATTTGACAGTATGTTCGCCGACTATTTGATTCCCTTTCTTCTTTGAGTTAGCTAACTGATGTTACTATATGGGAGACCTGACCCGCAGGGAATATGATACCTTCACCGAAGCAGCCAGCAGGGCCGAACTTTATTCTTAGGTAGTACTGTATATGTTTTGTAAATGCAAAATGTCATTGACGTGGGTATCTTTGTTATTTAACCTGTTCGAGGCTTTGAATGATGACAGAAACAGAGCTGTATTAGCTTAGACGTGTGCTCCGCACTTTTGCGGTTTCTTACAGGTTGCCGGTAGAATTCCCATTTGCGGTTGGCGGTTCATTGCAACCGTCAGCCAGGGTACTTAATGGCGGGTTCCCATTGAAATGTTTTGTTATTGATGTAAAATGCACATTGGTATTTGGCGTTTAATTTTTTCTTGAAAATTAAAATTTGTTGGATATTGCTTACAATCTTTGCTGACTGCTTATGAGTTTCTTTCTATTCCTAGGTGTATAGTCGTCCCGCAGACCGGTTGCTTGCCGGTTGGTACCAGGCAAAACTTTGTGGCATAAAGGGTGAGTTTGTGATAGTCGACTACACAACGATGGAATGCAATCGAGATGTCGTCAGTGTCGACAAAGTTCGTCCGGTGAATCGCAATCCTCCGTTAGCATTTTCAAGCCTTAAATCAGCAAGGAT